TGACTTTCCAGATTTATGGTATATAAGAAAGCTGAAGAGGAGGAGAGGCAGATAGTGGGAGGAGGAGGAGGGAGGATGACAACAACAGGCAACTTACCGACTGCTATCACTATGATGAAGTTAATCAAATCGGCCATGGACAGTAGTACGGATGAATTCTCCAACCAGAATAGGGAACTGGACATTGTAATCAGCCACATCCCTATTCCTCAACGGATCTCACCTCGCGATAACACCAATAGTGACAATAACGTCAATGCATAGTAAAGGTAAGGCACCAATATGGGACATACTAACATGGCTCGCTATGATGGTGAATAGGCCCTAAGCATACCACACCAATCCCTATTGCTTACAACACTACAAGGACGCCTACCGGATCAGCTACCCAGACGATTCTTGAGAATACTGGACCATAACGATATACGCTGTGAGTAACAGCCTAATACAGAGATACCAATTACAGTAGAGCTACTCTCTTACATCCTCCATAGCTCTGCCGAAGTTGTAGACATAGACGCAGGAGAATAAAGATGTAGATACGAAGAATAACATCCCAGCAGTCAATAGCCGACGAGGTTTGCCAAAGGAAATCACAGTAAGGCAAACGGAAATCAGTAATAATACACCACTTGCAATTTGGACCTGTCAAGAGGAGGAGGAGGTAGAAAGAATCACCGAGTCAGTGTGAAAAAATATGCACATAGAATATGAATTTTCTGAGAGATTCTTGTTAGCACCTAAACACGTCTACCCTAGTTCGTATATAAACTCCTATAATTATCGATAAAACTCTTCAGCTCAGCTGAGGGAAGCGCACATATATTCCCCCCACACTGCACCGATGATGCGACTCCTACACACAAGCACTTACCACCACTCCAGACACCATACTCAGGGTGTTGCCATTGATAGGTCCATGGAAATTAACCGCGACAAAAGTCATAGCAACGACCAACCTGCAATGGAGACATCCAATGAGGAGGCGTAGCCCCTCCTTACAGCAATACTCCCGCTACTGCCCATCTCATATGACGGGTTATCCAGAAGGTTTGCCGTGATCTGGCCCATAGTCGGTATCTGGTATCAATTACCATGAACGACTGAGACGCCGCTCTCCTAAAAGCTTAGACATACTCTTTCTCATCCACACTACTATCGAATTTGTGGGGGGTAGGCGCTCTGTAGTTATCGTCAAAGTACTTCAGCAACGAAGCAGAGACGCCCTGAGCAGGAGGAGCAGGAGGAGATCTTCAACAGAACCCTCTCCTGAGGACCCATCACACACACAGACCCTATATAACCCACCACGAGATTCGACAATACGATGAACAAACTTAATACAGGTATTTAATACTGTTTCATAATATATGAGGTCATTCGTGCCACCAGTT